TTTATTTCTCAATAATTTCTTGTTCAAGCTTCCCTTAACCCTGGGGTGATGGAAACTTAACTGTCAATTTAGGGGATCCCACCCTGGGCTTTGGGCACTCAGCAGCACTGGCTCCTCTTCTAGACGACGTTGCTGGTGATGACAGGGTGTTTATTCACCACGGGAGAAGCTGACAAATCTCCTGGAGCAAAGGCTAGTTCCTCCTCCTTGCTCTGACCTTGCTACCGCCAGGGTCACGCGCCCAGAGGAGAGGTGCCGTGGATGCGCCGGTGGGACAGACTGGGTCAGCTGGTGGCAGGGTGACGGAGAACCCAGTGGAAGGAAGGGTCATGGTGGGGTCCCCTCCGTTTACTCAAAACTGAAGCCTTCTCCCCACCCCTCTTCATCTCCTGACTTCTCACCTCCTGTTGTTGGGACTGTCCTTCAAAATCCTAGACTCATCTTAGTCCTTTCTCTCCTTGCTCTAGAATAGTGTGGAACCTTCGAGCCGTTTTGCCCAGTCCTTCGTTTTACACGTGAAGAGCTTGTGGCAAACCCAGAGTTAGACCTCAGGTCATGTCACAGACGAAATGCAGTGCTCTGAGCCCGAAGACTGACTTCCTGTCCTTTGCATAGTTATGTGTTCTCATCCTTTCCGTGGTCACCACCTCATCAAGTTCCCCTCACCAGCTACACAGATGATCAACGCAGAAGCGTGGCACTGTGCTCATAGACAGCATCCACAGAATGCCTTCTCGCCTCCCCCTTCCTTGCACCCGACGCTTCTTCAAGGTCAGCTCAAACGGCACCTCTCCCAGGGAGCCATGCTGGTCTGGCCTGACCTCCCTTCCACTGGCAGCATTGGGCTCTGCTAGTCCCTGCAGCTCCCGGCCCCGCCGGACGGCAAGCAGGCTACGTCTTTATGCTGTTTGCTTTCCAATAACTGGCTTATCTGGTGCTCAGGGCAGGGGCTTTGCTTTAGACTTCTTGGTTTCCCCTGCAGGGCCCAGCGTTGAGGATATGTGATAAGCTCTCAGTCACCTCTTGTGTGTGGCATATGCTGAGGGGAAACTTTAGCAAAATGCTTCGGAATGGCCACAGAGACATTAGTCCGAAAGAACTGGGGACACACACCAAGAAGGAAGTGTTTGCTGTGTAGGGTGAGCGAGCTCCAAGAGTGGTGGAAGCTTTCTGGGCGGAAAGAAGGGGTGCATCAGTCTGGCAGACGTCGCAGAACAGGAGGAACGACTGAACACATTGAGGACGGAAAGACAGAGCTGGGAGGGTGGAGGCTTGCTGCGGGGGGGATGTAAGTCAGCTCCTGTGGCCCGGGGCCCGGGTCACCCACCCACAGATGCACTGGTGCACCCGGGTTCGGATGTGCCACTGCCCCCAGGGGATTTCCAGGGCTCTCAGGTGACCATTGCCCTTCCTGGGGCCGAGCAGCGTGTTGGCCCCTGCTCAGGGGCCTCCTGTTGGCTGCGGACTTCAGCCAGGCTCCGCGGCCTTCCCACTCTGGCCTCCGCCGGCTGCTCCGTCCCCGTCCCCACGGCCCCACAGGCTCAGTGCCCCTGCGCCGCTAACCTCGGCAGCAGGCCTTCTGCCTTGGGCAGTTTGCAGCTTGCTTTCCCATGCCGGGTACCTAGCACCTCCAGGACTACAGTGTTTGAGACCGAGTTGCCTTATTTGGGGCCAGCACCCTGAGGCTCTTCCTTTAAGCCTTGGGAGTGAGCCCAAGGGTGGGTGTCAGGAGGAAACCTGTGTCCGAGCTCCTCAGCCCTCCTCAGTGTCTGCGCCTCACCCTGGCCGCCCGAAGGCACTCGCACCTGCTGTCTTGCTTTCCTTTACCTGCAGGAAGGGTCTGCTGCCGGGCAGAGGCAGGTGATGGAGGGGCAGTGATGCCCAGCCCCGCTCTGTCCTCTCCCTGCACCTCCTGTCCCACCTCAGAGGCTGGCAGGGAGAGGCTAAGAGGCACACCGCACGCCCACATTCTTGAACACGTCCTGGGCCTCCCGGTCTCCACAGGGTTTTCAGATGCATCATCTCATTTGATCTTCCCCCAAAAGCTTATGAAGTGGGGGCATGCTGGTGGACATTCCTTCCATGTATCAGATGGGAAGAATGAGGCAGGATACGCCAAGCACTCCGCCAAGCAGAACTGGAGCCAGGCCTTGGGTCTCCTGCCCCACCGGCCCGGCACCTGCCTGGCACATGGCGCAGGGAGGAGGCTTGGAGGATTTCTAGCTAGGAGCACCCCTGCAGGATGGGCCGATGGACACCGTCATCCAAAGTGATGAGCAGCCTTTGGGAGCCGGGAGGGCCGGAGAAGTATAGGCTGTCCCCTTATTTCACACACAGAAGAAAGGGCCCACGAAGTCGTGAGCTGCCCTGGGCCACAGAGCAGGTGGGCAAGCCTGGGGGCTCTTACTCCAGGCCGGTAGGCGCCCCACACTGTGTGCTCCGAGTTCAGTGTGTGGAACTGTCAAGGACCCCTGCTTTTGTTCCCTGGTTCCTGGGCTGCGGATTGGATCCCATTTGGTGCGAGGTTGTGGGGCCCTTCTGCGGATCCTTTTGTTTTCATTTGCAAGCAGCCCCCAGTGCAGTGTGCCCAGACTGCCTGGCTTCACATCGCAGCTTGGCTGACTGGCTATGTGTCCAGGGGACATCCCCATGCCGCCACCTCAGGGTTCGGTGGGATTTTTTTTTTATTTTAAGGTTTTATTTATTCATCTGAGTCAGCGAGAGAGCGAGAGAGAGCACAAGCAGGGGGAGTGGCAGAGGGAGAAGCAGACTCCCTGCCAAGCAAGGAGCCCGATGCTGGACTCCATCCCAGGACCCTGGGATCATGGCCTGAGCCAAAGGCAGACGCTTAACCGACTGAGCCACCCAGGGGCCCCTCTGCAGGATTTTTAAGGAGGTGATACACATAAAGTCTTTCACTGAATCGTGCCCCGCTACAGTGACTCCCCACAAATATTGGTTGACGTTATTATGTACTTATTCTAGAGTTAGAAGAAGGGGCAGTAAAATTCTGTTTGGCTCTGCAAGTGGAAGTGGCTGTGCTGGTTCCCGGTGTGGTCCAAAGGCCTCAGGAGGAAGGTATGGAAAGGTCTGAATTGTTCCACGGCAGGAGAGGAGCTCTGGAATTTAACTGACCTGCACAGGGCCACCCTGGTACCCTCCCCAAGTGTGGATCAGGAGGCCCTGGCCTGCTCTGCATCCTGCCAGGGACCTGTCATCAGCGGCTGACTCCACTCCCTGACTCGTGGCCCCGGATTACTGGGGATCGGAATACCCAGGGGAGGCTGGTCCCTACCCCCTGGCTGATGGTTGAGAACAGCTGGGTCCTGAAGGCCGGGCCAGACCTATTTGTGGGGAGGCAAAGCATATCCAAGCCGAGATGTTGGAGAGAATTCGGGAAAACAGCCCCATCTCAGCTTCCATCTGCCTGGCTAGGGCCCGGCACGAACCCAGGCAGAGCCAGGGAAATTTTACTCAAAGCAAAATGACCAACCAAGACGTAGGGAATGGAAGTGTGTTCGGATCTGAGCCAAGAGCTCCTGGGGGGCCCAGCAGGGTGCCTAGGAGGCCTAGGGCCTCTCTCTCTGAAGGTGTGGGGATCCGAGGAGCCTGGGACAAGGGCGGAGGAGGACAGTGGCTCCGGTGACCTGAGCAAAGGGCATCTCCAGGGGAGCTGTTCCTGTCACTCTCCCAGGACAGTGCAGTTGGTGCTCACTGGGCGGCCGAGCCCTCTGCGGGCTCAGGGCGAGGCCCTCCTGCCTACGGCCGCTCGGTGTGAGCGTGTGTGAGGCGTGTGCGCACAGGCCTGGGCTGGGGGAGTCAAGTTAGGATCAGCCCACGTGTGTCTCTGCCCCTCCCGGGCCACACTAAGACTTTGCCACCTTCTTCCCCACCCCAGCCGTTCCTCTCCAGCTTCGGTCCTTTACGCTGAAGTGGACTTTTAAAAATAGGTAAAGCACATGGTACACAGCGAAGTTCCCCGCCCTGCCCTGCCCCCTTACCCCCTCGAGGGGCAACACGCGCACGTCCTCACTGAGGGGGCACATGCGTATGCAAGCATATAGGTCAATAGTCTCCTTTTCTGGCCTTTTTTGGTGGCAGACTCCTCTGAGAGTCTGGAAGAACTCTGGGTTCCCCCCTAAAATAGGGTACACACACACACAAAATTAGTGTATAATTTCAGGGGTTTACTCCGTGGCCACTTTTGTCCTGCTCAGCAAGGGGTTCTGGTTGTGACTCGTAGCAACTGGGTCTGACCCATATTTTCCCTCCTTAACACTGTCTCCCACATTCACACACCCCCTACCTGCCCGGATTTGGGCAAGATTTCAACAAAGGAGAGCTTCAAAGGCCTTGACAAAATAGCCTCAGCAAGCCAGCCATTCAGTGACTTCCTATTATATTGAGACCAAAATAAACTCTCAACTCTTAGAATGACTTGGAAGGCCCTTCACTCCCAGTGTCCCTGAACATCCCTCCTGGTCTCATCCCACCATGCTCACCCTCTGCCCACACAGCTCTGGCCACAGTGACCTTCTTTCTGTTCCTTATTGCACGTGTCAGAGCCAGGTCTCCCCTCAGGGTCTGTGCGTCAGCGGCTCCCTCTGCCTGGAAAACTGGTTCCCTGATCGCTGTACTGCTGGTTCCCTCTGGTGTCAGCCCCCCAGGTCATTGCTCTGGGAGGCCCTCCCCAGCCGCCCCTCCTAATGGCGTGGCGTGTCCCCTCCAGGCATATCTCATCCCATTGTCCTCAGGGCACTTACCACTCTGAAGTTATCTTACTTCTTTAGCCATTTACTGTCTTCCCCCACTAGGGTGTGAGTTCCCATCTCCAGCACCCAGAACTGGGCCTGGTACACCCTAGGTGCTCAGTAAATGTCTGTGGACTGAATAAAGGATCTTGGTGGAGGTTAGATAAGAATCTGGACTCACTTCTCCATCCCACCAAAGCAGCTCCAGGCGATCCCTGGCTCCTGTTCGAGGCACGAAGTTCCTGCCTCTCCCTCATTTCTCTATTCCCAGATGTCCTACCCTTTTCCCAGATCTCTGGGGCCCCTCCTTCCCAATCAGCATCTAACAAAAACTCTTTTGTGGTTTTATGCCTGGGGGATTTAATCTGAGTCAATTTGGCTTCTCCAGCTCCGGCTCAGCTGAGTCCAAAGGTCTGATCAGCGTTTCCAGTGGACCAGCCAGCAACTCTGCCGTCTGAGGGCTCGAGCTCCACCCCAGGGGGACCGACGGTACTGACGGAGGATAGTCTGAGCCTCGCTCCCTGAGCTGCCGTTCCTGGGTCTTGGGGAAATAAATGAAGACCAACCAAATGAGAGAAGAGCAAAGGCTATTTATTCAAAGCTTGCTACAGCAAGGGAGTCAGTCAGCCTTGGTCACTTGCTGTCAAAGAGACTCGGGCAGGCAGAGGGGCGGGAAAGCTTGCTTTATAGCAGGGAAAAGGGAAGGATTCGGATGTGCCTTCTCTGGAGGCTGTGGGCGTGGGGAAGCTGTAAAGCAGGTACCTAGAAGCCGGGCGTCCTGTGTGACTGGTTGGGGGTGCGTATTTGACTTTCGCTGGTTGGTCCTAAGCTGCAATGTGGACAAAACTTGGGGAAGTTGTCAGTTCTGGCTGTTTTGAGCCAATTGTTCCAGAAAGTTGGTGTTTCGCTTTTTTGAATCGTTACTAGAGATTGTCTTCTTACAAATGTGACCTACGGATCGCCTGGGTGTTTTCTTGTTGATGAGGAGTTGGTTTGCTGGGCAGGTTTCTGCAGGACCTGGGTGGGAGTTCTGTCTTTCCATCTGCTCTGGCCACTGCCTATGTGTTCAGTCTTAGTCTACAGTGCAGATCAGTCTCTCGGTGGCTCCTCCTTCCTTCCCTCCAATATGTGCACATCCTGGGGTAGTAGAATCATCCCGTGCCTGATTTCCTTCATTCAGCAGCTGTCTGGCAAAGGGCTGAGCTGTGTGCGGAGTCACGGCGAGAGGCGCAGGCAGGGGAGCAGGACTGGCTGGGAGGAGGGATGCACACATCTCGCAGGACTGGTTCGGCATGGGGATTCTCAGCTGGGAAGGCTTGGTGGTCGGTGTGGGGTTTCAGGAGTGGGTTTGCTACAGATGGGAACTGGGGAGAGATAGGGGGGACTCTTGGAAGGTAATACGGCTAGGCAGGGGGCCGGTGGAGGGGCCTAGGTTAGTCACTTCCTCTCTGCGTAGGGCCGCTAGGAGGCGGACATGGCGAGCATGAAGGTGCTGGGTGAGTTGTGAAGGTTTCGGCGTGAGGGAAGGCTGTGGGAATCGCCTGGAAGGGGCCTCTCTCATCAAAATGAGGAGACTGAACGTACCTAGGCAGCAGAGGGGCACCTGGCTGGCTCAGTCGAAGAGCATGTGACCCTTAATCTCAGGGTTGTGAGTTCAAGCCCCACGTTGGAGCCTACTTAAAAATTAAAACAAAACAAAACAATACTATCATCTACTGAGTTGGAGTCACTGCTCTGAGCCTGCCTAGAACCCCTACCATAGTCCTGTGAGGTAGTTACTATTATCATCTCCATAGCAGGTGAGATCCCAGACACACAGGCCAGTTAAGGAATTTGCCCTAAGTGCTGGAGGGGAGAGAATGCTTCGATTGTGTGCTTTGCACAACATCAACAACCGTGCACGCTCAGTTGCTGCTCCTGATTCAATGTCTTCGGCCATACTGTGCATCCCGATGCATCGCTAACAATTAGCTATAATAAAAACCAGCTCTTATGAAGTGTGAGGCATGGCCCTAAGCATTTGTATATATTAACTCATTTAATCTTAGTATCAGCCCTCTGAGGTGAGGAACTGTGATTATCATTTCCATTTTACGGAGGAGAAAACTGAGGAGCTACGTGGCAAAGCCTATGCCTCTGTCCCTGGAGTCTGCGCACCTCCCACCGTGCGGCCACCTCTTGTCAACAAGCAGGGCCATGACTCCCCCTCCATTGAGCCCTGCTCCACACAGTGCTCCACGGCTAGGAGCCAACCCCAAGTCACTGCTTCTTGCCTCTCTGGACACTCGCCCCAGAAAAACATGCACACACACCGACGCCCCTTAGGAAATTCAGGTACCCCCTCAAGCCTTTCCATGGCAAGTGGGTGATAGGGGAAGACTTCTGGGGTGAGCGTTTCAGTCAGGGGATATTCTCCAGTCTGGAACAAAAGGTCAACAAAAAGTCAAAAGACTTTGAATTCTAAGAGATTTACTTTGTTGAGAGAGTGGAAATAAAATTCCATAGCTACTTTTATTTACTTCACTAGAAAACAGAACAGAAAGCAGCCTGTCCGTGGCACCTGCGTGGCTCAGTCGGTTAAGCGTCTGCCTTCGGCTCGGGTCATGATCCCAGAGTCCTGGGATCGAGCCCCACATCGGGCTCCCCGCTTGGTGGGGAGCCTGCTTCTCCCTCCCCCTCTGCTCCTCCACCTCCCCCCGCTTGTGCTCTCTCTCATATAAATAAATAAAATCTTTTAAAAAAAGAAAGAAAGCAGCCTGTCCTGAGAGTCCCCATCTTTGGATCAACTTAATTACCCAACATTTCTCACACATCTAGTCAGCTGAACACTGCTGGAGAAAATCTCATAATTCTGCCGATTTATGCCAACGCACATTTATGGGGTCTAATCCCAGCTGGGTCTTTAACACAACTTGGCGGCTCTTACTTGTGCCAGATAAACATTCACACCCATGCTCACGATGGCCACTCCAACCTTTCTATAATGATTCTTTGAGCTTTAAAAGTTTTCATGTGTTAGAGGCACGACTGCACAAATTTTAATTCACATCCGCCAGGACTTTTATCCAGTATCTCCCTCTACTTGGGCTCTTGACCCTTTCTTTTGTTTATTTGGATAATTACTGATTTAGAGGCTGCCATGCCTGGCACTGGGATGGGCTCTAGGACCCCACCATAGTCTCTGTTCCCATGGAGCGTACAGCCCAGAGAGAAAGACTATCATTCCACAAATAATTACAAATATGATGAGGGACACTAAAAGGAAAGTAGAGAGATTATATCAAATGAGTTGATGTGGAGGTTTCAGGAAGGCCTCCCTGAGGAAGTGGCATTTCAAGCTGAGTCCCGAAGGATGATATGTCAGTTTGAAATGCTTTGGGCTGCACACAACAGAAAATCTGACCAACAGTGAAACCATAAGGATGTTTATTATTTCCTTAAGAAGCCTGGAAGCAAAGAGTTTCAGCGCTTTTAGGCGGCTCAACAATATCAAGAGCCATGAGTTGATATCCCTACAATTTTCTTGGTTTTTCCTTCAGTCATAAGAGGGTTGCCATAGATTCAAGTGTGACTTCCTTACATAACATCTTCTCAGAGGACAAAGAAGAGAAAGGGCTCTAGTTCCCAAGCAGCTTTCAAACGGGCACAAAAATTCATCCACAAATTCCCAGGAGTTTTCCTCTTGTGTCTTTTCTCCCGAAAGTGGGTCATATGCCCACCTCAGGCATAGAGAGAAGGAGTTACCATGATTGACACACCAATCAGGATTGATCCCATAGCACAGTGAGGACCCTACCTCTCCTGGAGATATTGCTGCCTATTAGAGCCCTCAAATGAGAATCAAAGGGTCCACCAATTCTGGATATGGACTCCTAGATAATAAATAATAAACAAACCTTCATACCAATAAAAACAAACTTATAAAAGTCATCTTAAAAGAATCAGAGAAATAACAAGATTTGAGGAACTGCTGAAATGAGATGCTGAGATACTGAAGACATGGGAAAGTGGAGAAGTGAAGCCTCCTCTGAAGGCGGCCTATGCCCTGGGACTTTGTTCTGGAAAAGGCTGAGCTGCAATTCTGGCAGCCTCCAGGGGCTAGGGTGGAAATTTCAAAGTCAGGTGGTTCCCACTGCTAGTGCCCTCAGGAGCTGGCAAAAGAATAAGTTCTCTTTAGAGGAAGACAATATTATCTTGAACGTCAGGGTATTTCTATAAATAATTTTCTAAAACAATGTCCAGTACACAAAGATAACCCAAGGATATCAGACAGCACAAATAAGAACAGTAGGTACAATAGGTAATAGAAATAGACTCACAGGGTCTCCAGATACTGAAATGATCAGCATAGATTACAAAACAATTATGTTTGTTATGTTCAAGGAACACAAGCCAAGAATGGAAAATTTGGTTGGGAAATAGAAATTTTTAAAAATGATATTGTAGGGACGCCTGGGTGGCTCAGTCGTTAAGTGTCTGCCTTCGGCTCAGGTCATGGTCCCAGGGTCCTGGGATTGAGCCCCACATCGGGCTCCCTGCTCCATGGGAAGCCTGCTTCTCCCTCTCCCCCTCCCCCTGCTTGTGTTCCCTCTCTTGCTGTGTCTCTCTCTGTCAAATAAATAAATAAAATCTTTAAAAAAAAATGATATTGTAAATGTTAAATGGGAAAAAATGTAAATTCTGGAACTTAAAACACAATAACCAAAATTGGGAACTGAGAGTTTTATCAGCAAATTAGAAATAATAGAAAAGAAAATTAATGAAAATTAATGAACTGGAATATATAGGTCAGAAGAAAATACCCACAATAATGCATAATGGAGTAAAGAGAAAGAAAACGCAGAGGAGTGGGTAAGAAACATGGATGTCACAATGAAAAGGTCTAAGAAGAGTCCATAAGGAAAGGAAAGAATGGACTTAGGCAATATTTGGGAAAAAATGGCTCAAAAATTTCCAGAATTGATGAAACACATTAAATCATACATTTAAGAATCTAACAAATCCTAAGCAGGATAAATAAAAAAGAAACTCACTGTCTTATACATTAGTGAAACTGCAGAAAACCAAAGACAATGAGAAAATAGTGAAAGCAGTCAGAGTAAAACAGACAAATTAACTTTAAAAGCCACAACATTCAGAGGACCCACACTTCCCTATTTCAAAACTTACTACAGGGGCCCTGGGTGGCTCAGTCAGTTAAGCATCTGCCTTCGGCTCAGTTCATGAGCCTATGGTCCTGGGATTGAGTCCTGCATGGGGCTCCCTGCTCAGTGGGGAGTCTGTTTGTCCCTCTGCCTGCCGCTCTGCCTACTTGTGCACTCTCTCTCTCTGTCAGATAAATAAATAAAATCTTAAAAAAAAAAAAAGTCAGTGTCTTAAAAAAAAAACCCAAAAAATAACTTACTATAGAGCTACAGCAATTAAGACGGTGTGGTATTGGATAAGGGTAAACATACAGGTCAATGGAATAGAATTCAGAGTCCAGAAAATCCTCACATTGATGGTCAACTGATTTTCAACCCCAGTGCCAAAAATTCAACGGGGAAAAAATAGTCTTTTCAACAAACAGTTCTGGGACAATTGTATATACACATACAAATAAGTAAAAGTGGATCCCTACCTCATGTAATATACAAATATTAACTCAAAATGGGACAAAGACCAAGTGTAAGAGCTAAAAATATAAAAATCTTAGAAGAAAACAAACATAGGAGTAAATCTTTGTGACCTTAGGTTAGGCACTGGTTTTCTAGATAGGACACCAAAAGCATAAACAACTAAAGAAAAAATAGATTAATTAGACTATATGAAAATTTAAAGCTTTTGTGCTTCAAAGGATACCATCAAGAAAGTGAAAAGAAAGGGCACCCGGCTGGCTCAGTCAGTAGGGCACGCAACCCTTGATCTCAGGGTCATGAGCCCCATGTTGGAGGTACAGTTTATTATTTAAGATAATCGACCATATACTAAGCCATAAAGCTAGTTTCAACAAATCCAAAGGATTAAAATCATTCAGAGCTAATCTTTAGTCGCAATGCAATTATGCTGGAATTAAAAAGCAAAAGGACAGGGGCACCTGGGTGGCTCAGTCGTTAAGCGTCTGCCTTCGGCTCAGGTCATGACCCCAGGGTCCTGGGATCGAGCCCCACATTGGGCTCCCTGCTCGGCAGGAAGCCTGCTTCTCCCTCTCCTTCTCCTAAATAAATCTTAAAAAAAAAAAAAAAAGCAAAACGACAGCTAGAAAACCCTAGATGTTTGGAAATAAAACAATGTATTTCTAAGTATTTCATGAATCAAAAAAATTTTTTTAAATAATTCATGAATCAAAGAAGAAATTATAATGAAATTACAAAGTCTGAAATAAATAATTTAAAAACACTACATATCAGAAGTTGTGGGATACAAGCTATTCTTTTTTTCTTTTTTTAAAGATTTTATTTATTTATTTGACAGAGAGAGACACAGCAAGAGAGGGAACACAAGCAGGGGGAGTGGGAGAGGGAGAAGCAGACTCCCCACTGAGCAGGGAGCCCGATGCGGGGCTCGATCCCAGGACCCTGGGATCATGACCTGAGCCGAAGGCAGACGCTTAATGACTGAGCCACCCAGGCGCCCCACAAGCTATTCTCTTGATGGAAATTTACAGCCTTACATAGTTAAATCAGAAAACATTAATGAACTAAACATGCATCAAAAAGTAGAAAAAGAATAGCAAATTAAACTTGAAATTAGAAATAAGGACATAATAAAGATAATTGAAAGCATACACACACACAATAGAATAAAAATAAAACAAGTTGGTACTTTGAGAAGACTAATAAAACTGATAAACCTTTGGTGAAATGAAATAGAAAAGAGAGAGAGAGAAGGCTGGGATGAACCCTGTCAGGAATGAAAAACAGGGCATTACTATAGTCCCTGCAGACTTTCAGAAGAAACCAAGAGAATATTACGAACTTTATGCTAAAGCATTGGAAAATTTTTATGGAATGAATAAATTCCCAAGGAGGAAAAAGACAGTTTATAAAATACCAAAGAAGAAACAGGAATTCTGAGTAGAGCAATAACTCAAAAGAACTGAAACACTAATTTAAAATTTTCCTACAGGGGCGTGTGGCTGGCTCAGTGGGTTGAGTGTCTGCCTTCCAGTCAGGTCATGATCCCAGGGTCCTGGAATCGCGTTCCCCATCAGGCTTCCTGCTCAGTGGGGAGCCTGCTTTTCCCTCTGCTCCTCCCCCAGTTGTGCTTTCTTCTCTCACTCTCTCTCAAAATAATAAGTGAATCATAAAACAAATAAATAAATAAAGGTGGAAAAAAATTTTCCTACAAAGCAGGTTCCAGGCCCACATGGCTTGATCAGCAACTTCTATCAAATATTTATGCAAGCTATAAGTTAATATTGTACAAACTCAGAGAGTTTTTGCCAACTCATTTTGAGCCTAGTACAATGTACTGTAAATATATGTATTTTTTAAATTTTCGAAGAAAGGGAAGATGGAGGAATAGGAGGACCCTAAGCTCACCTTGTCCCAAGATACAATTAGATAACACATCAGTGTAAATAACCTGAAACTTTCTATATATTACTATGTTCTGACATCCTAAAAAAACCTTTCCTGAGTTGGGAGAGACAATTCCTCCTTTTTTTTTTTTAATTTTTTTTTTAAAGATTTTATTTATTTGCGAGAGAGAGAATGAGAGACAGAGAGCATGAGAGGGAGGAGGGTCAGAGGGAGAAGCAGACTCCCTGCTGAGCAGGAAGCCTGATGTGGGACTTGATCCCGGGACTCCAGGATCATGACCTGAGCCGAAGGCAGTCACTTAACCAACTGAGCCACCCAGGCGCCCTGGGAGAGACAATTCTTTTTTTTTTTTTTTTTTTTTTTAAGATTTTATTTATTTATTTCACAGAGAGAGACACAGTGAGAGAGGGAACACAAGCAGGAGGAGTGGGAGAGGGAGAAGCAGGCTTCCCGTGGAGCAGGGAGCCCGATGCGGGGCTTGATCCCAGGACCCTGGGATCATGACCTGAGCCGAAGGCAGACGCTTAACGACTGAGCCACCCAGGCGCCCCGAGAGACGATTCTTAAGAGATGGCAAAGGGCCCAGCTGGGAGCGTCATCCAGGGCGGTCCCTCCTCTGTCTGGCCCTGCATCCCAGGAGGCAATACTCCTCTGCCTTAATCATCCCAGGGCCAGGTGCCAGGCAACTAGGGACCAACCCTGTAACCCAAAGGCAGCCAAAATTACTCAAACTAGCCAGTCCTAAACCCTTCCCTGCCTTGCCTTTTCCCCAGAAACCCCAATAAAGGCCTAAATCTTCCCACATCCCACTGTCTTCTGCTTCCTGACCACCCTGGTGTCTTTCCAATGTGGCTCTGTAAATTTTTTTTTTTTAATCAGCAAAAATGGGTTCGTGTCTCCTGTCTCTAGGACCTGTGTGTTTTTTGGGGTTTTTCCCCCTCTGCTCTTTTCTTTCTCCTCTGTGGCTGCACCTGACCGACCACCTCATAAAAACCACAAAATATGTAATCTCAATACCAAAACCTGATAAAGACACTATGAGGATGGAAAATTACAGGTAAATCTCATTCATGAACAATGACACAAAAATTCTAAAGAAAATATTGGGAAGTTGAATTCAGCAATATAAAAAAAGAATGACACATCATGTCCAAGTTGTGTTTATTATGATTTTAGTAATGCAAGCTAAGTTTAACTTTTTAAAATATCAATTAATGAATTCACCACATTAACAAACCAAACAAGAAAAATCATAGGTCATCTCCATAGCTGCAGGAAAAATATTTAATAAAAATTTGACGTAGGGGCGCCTGGGTGGCTCAGGCGTTAAGCATCTGCCTTCAGCTCAGGTCATGATCCCAGGGTCCTGCTCGGCGGGAGGCCTGCTTCTCCCTCTCCCTCTGCCGCTCCCCCTGCTTGTGTTCCTGCTCTTGCTAACTCTCTGTCAAATAAATTAATAAAATCTTTTTAAAAAACTGACGTATATTTATGATACAAAACTCTTAGCGAGGGCGCCTGGCTGGCTCAGTTGGTAGAGCGTGTGACTGTTTAACTCAGGGTCGTGAGTTCAAGCTCTATGTTGGGGGTAGAGATTACTTTAAAAAAATAAACAAAACAAAACAAAACTCTTAGTGAACTAGGACTAAAAGGGGACTTTCTTAATATGACAAAGGATACTACAAAGCACCGGTAGCAAACATCATGTAAATGGTGAAATGTTGAAAGCTTTTCCTTTGAGATCAGTGATTTATTGCTGTGTAGTAAATTACCTCAACACTTAGTGGATTAAAACAACAAATATATATTATCTCATGGATTCTGTGCATTAGGAATTTGGAAGTGGCTTAACTGAGTGGCTCTGGCTCAGGGTCTCACAGTCGAGAAGTGAGCTGGGGCTATAGTCATCTGAAGACTTGAGTGGGGTCAGAGGATCCCTTCAAGGCCACTCACATGACTGTTAGCAGCAGGCCACAGATCTTTACTTGTTGGCTGGAGTCCTCAGTTTCTCACCACGTGGACCTCTCCTCACAAGATGGTAGGTGGCTTCCCCTCGAACTAGTTTCCAAGAGAGAGAGGCAAATGTCCCCATGTCTTGTATGTCCTAGTCTCAGAAGTGACATACCCTTACTTATACCATGCTCTCAATTGGTCACACAAACAATATGAGAGGCACTACGCTAGGGTGTGAAGACCAGTAGGAGGTATTGACATTGAGGGCCATCTTGGAGGCAGGCTACCACAATCAGGAACAAGACAAGGTCAGGATGCCCTCTGTCTCCACTTCCCATCAACATTACTTGGAGGTCTATCCAGAGTAGTAAAAAAGAAAAAGAAAAGGCAAAATGTTTGGGGTACCTGGCTGACTCAGTCAGTACAGCATGCGACTCTTGATATCAGGGTCATGAGTTCAAGCCCCACATTGGGCATGGAGCCTACTTAAAAAAAAAAAAAGGCAAAATGATTAGAATGAAGAAACAAAACTATTGGTATTTACAGAGAATGACTGTATGCATAGAAAATCCCAAAGACTCTACAGTTAAGACCCATCTTCCTCTCTCACAGCCAACCCCAGGATGCCCAAGTGTCAGCTCTCATCTTGCAGTTCTTCACAAGCCAGTTCCACTGAGAGCACGTTCCACTGAGGGGGAGATAGAGTTCCTCAGGGGATGGACAAGGTTGCTCTGAAAAAGTTGAAGCTAAGTCAAAAAAGACAGGTTAGGATAAGTCTTCAGATGAAAAAAAAGTTTTTTTTTTTTTAAGATTTTATTTATTTATTTGACAGAGAGAGAGATAGAGAGCACAAGCAAGGGGAGCGGCAGGCAGAGGGAGAGGGAGAAGCAGACTCTCTGCCGAGCAAGGAGCCTGATGTGGGGCTCGATCCCAGGACCCTGGGATCATGACCTGAGCCGAAGGCAGACGCTTAACAGATTGAGCCACCCAGGTGCCCAAAAAAAGTCTTAACATAAAAAAAAGACAGTTAAATAAGAAAAAAAAAAGACAAAACAAAACAAAAACCAAGAATGGTATGTGAATATGTCAAAGGAAGGGAAGGAGGAGGGAAGGAAGACCCACTAGAGAACGGAGACACTGAAAATGAGGAGGTAGGTACGCAGGAGATAGGAAGCCAAATCTGGGACATTTTACATCACGGTTTTTGGTGGTCCTTGTATCTCCCTTTGAAATAGTTTAGAAACTACTTCGTAAATGCATATTTTTAGTAGCCCTAGAAATGAAATTTTAGGATTTTTTTAGTAGCTAAAAATGAAATTTTCAAGGTGGAAATTCTACCTCACCTCATGATTTTTTACAAATCTAGGTTAAATGTAAACTTGGCTTATTATGAGGCTATTGATTTGTTCTGTACTACCATAAATTAGGGTCATATTGAATTAGGGGGGACTTTTGCCTTTTCTGGATATTTTATATACACAGAATCAAACAATATGAAGTCTCTTGACTTCTTTCACCGAGCAGAATGGCTTTGAGGTTCATCCATACCATAGCATGTATCTGTATTTTGTTCCTTTTAATTGTAGTTCATTGTATGGACATACCACATTTGGTCTATCCATTCTCCAATTGATGGACACTTAGGATGTTTCCAATTTGGTTTCCATTTTGGTTATTATGAATAAGGATGCTAAGAACATTTATGTGCGGGGCACCAGATGGCTCAGTCAGTTAAGCGTCTGCCTTTGGCTCAGGTCATGATCCCATGATCCCAGGATCCTAGGATCGAGTACCACGTTGGGCTCCCTGCTCAGTGGGGAGCCTGCTTCTCCCTCTCTCTCTGCCTGCTGCTCCCCCTGCTTGTGCTCTCTCTCTCAAATAAATAAATAAATTGTTAAAAAAAAAAAAAAAGAACATTTATGTGCAAGGCCTTATGTGGATATGTTTTCATTTCTCTTGGGTAGATACCAAATAGAATTGCTGGGTCATATGTTTAACCTTTTGAGAAACTGTCAGTTTTCCAAAGTGACTCTATCATTTTTTATTCCTGCCAGCAAAGTCTGAGGCTTCCCATTTCTTCACACCTTGCCAACATTTGTTATGGTCTGATTTTTTTATTATAGCCATTTTGGTGGGTTTGACAAGGTTTGCATGTGGTTTGGATTTGTATGTCCCTATCATTAATGATATTGAGTATCTCATCATATGCTTATCAGCAATTTTTATATCTTTTTAGGTGAAATGTCTATTCACATCTTTTGCCCTTTTGCCCATGTTTTGATTGGATTGTTTGTTTTCTTTTTATTGAGGTGTAAGAGTTCTGATATTTTCTTCTGGATATACACCCATGTTGTTTTTCAGCAGAATTGTCTCTCCCCCCTTTTTTTTTTTGAGAGAGAGAGTGACAGAGAGAGGGAGCAGTGCAGGGGGAGGGGCAGAGGAGCAGCAGAGAGAGAATCCTAAGCAGGCTCCATGCCCAGCATGGAGCGCAATGTGGGGCTCGATCTCATGACCCTGAGATCATGACCTGAGCCGAAATCAAGATTTGGATGCTTAAATGACTAAGCCACCCAGGCGTCCCTTTTAGCCACTAAAATTTTTTTTTATTTTATTTTTAAAGATTTTTTATTTATTTGACAGAGAGACACACAGTGAGAGAGGAAACACAAACAGGGGGAGTGGGAGAGGGAGAAGCAGGCTTCCCGCTGAGCAGGGAGCCCGATGTGGGGCTCGAACCCAGGACCCTGGGATCATGACCTGAGCTGAAGGCAGACACTTAATGACTGAGCCACCCAGGCACCCCGCCACTCAACTTTTTTTTTTTTAAGATTTTATTTTTTTATTTGAGAGAGAGAATGAGATAGAGAGAGACCATGAGAGGGGGGAGGGTCAGAGGGAGAAGGAGATTCCCTGCTAAGCAGGGAGCCCGATGCGGGACTCGATCGCGGGACTCCAGGATCATGACCTGAGCCGAAGGCAGTTGCTTAACCAACTGAGCCACCCAGGTGCCCCTCAATTTTTTTTTTAAAGATTTTATTTATCTGACAGAGAGGGAGCACAAGAGGGGGAGCGGCAGGCGGAGGGAGAGGGAGAAGCAGGCTCCCCGCTGAGCAGAGAGCCTGATGCGGGGCTCGATCCCAGGACCCTGGGATCAACGACCCAAGGGGAAGGCAGACGCTTAATGGAGTGAGCCACCCAGGCGCCCCTAAAAAGTATTTTTTAAATTTATGTTAGAGACACAGAGAGCACAGTGGGGAGGGGTAAAGGGAGAGGGAGACAGAGTCTTAAGCAGACTCTATGCTGAGCATAGAGCCCAATGTGGGGCTTGATCTCACAATCCAGAGATCACAACCTGAGCTAAAACCAAGAGTCTGACGCTTAACCAACTGCACCACCCAGATGCCCCTCTAAATTTTTATTTAAATGTTAATATTATACACACCATCTACTCAATAAAAATTTCCAGGCTTTCATAGCACATTATCAAAGGTATTAGGAAAAACTAAACTACCACTGTCAAAGATGTGAAGACAGCACATCATTCTGAGAGAGAGATCCAAGACAAGAGTATAGTTGTCTTTAAGAGACAAATTCTAGGGGCAACCAGCAGGGCCGGTTCCTTCTGGAGGCTTCAGGGAAGAATCTTTTGCTTGTTCCTTCCAGTTTCTGGTAGCTGCTCATATCACTCCAATCTCAGCTTCGATAGTCAAATGCCTTTTCCCCTTTTGATGTCATATCTCACCCTGCCTCCTTTTTAAAAAAATTTTTTTAAAGATTTTATTTATTTGATAGAAAGTGAGAGAGCACAAGCAGGGGGAGCGGCGGGCAGAGTGAGAGGGAGAAGCAGACTCCCTGCCGAGCAGGGAGCCCGATGCGGGGCTGGATCCCAGGACACTGAGATCATGACCTGAGCCAAGGCAGATGCTTAACTGACTGAGCCACCCAGGCGCAACACCCTGCCTCCTTCTTTTGAGGACCTTTGTGATTTACATTTAGGGTCTGTTCAGATAATCCAAGATAATCTCCCCATCTCAAAGTCCCATTTGCCATGTAAAGGTAACACTCCCAGATTCCAGAAATTAGGACCTGGGTATCTTTGGGGGCCATTTATCAGCCCACCACAGTCTCCAATACAAATATAGTACAACGTGAGTCACAAATACAAGCCACACTTATAATTCCAAATATTTTCGTAGTCACATTAAAAAAAGTCAAACATGGAATACTACTCAGCCATCAAAAAATTGAAATCTTGCCATATGCAATGGTGTGGATGGAACTAGAGGGTATTATGCTAAGTGAAATAAGTCAATCAGAGAAAGAGAGTTATATGATTTCACTCATGTGGAATTCAAGAAACAAAACAGAGGATCATAGGGGAAGGAAAGGAAAAATAAAACAAGACAAAATTAGAGAGGGAGACAAACCATAAGAGATTCTTATTCATAGGAAACAAACTGAGGGTTGCTGGAGGGGAGGGGGGTGGGGGATGTAGTAACTGGGTGATGGACATTAAGGAGGGCACGTGATGTTATATAAGACTGAGCACTGGGTGTTATGTAAGACTGATGAATCACTAAACTCCACCTCTGAAACCAATAACACATTATATGTTAATTAATTGAATTTAAATTTTAAAAATGAAAAAAAAAAATTAAAAAGTCAACCCAAAGAATACAAAAACACTAATTCAAAAAGATACATGTACTCCTATGTTTATTGCAGCATTATTTATAATAACCAAATTATGGAAGTAGCCCAAGGGTCCATCAATAGATGAATGAGGGGTGCCTGGGTGGTTCAGTCACTTACGCATCTGCCTTCAGCTCAGGTCATGATCCCAGGGGCCTGGGACTGAGCCCCACATCAGGCTCCCTGCTCGGTGGAGAGTCTGCTTCTCCCTTTCTCTCTCCCTCTGCCTCTCGCCCTGCTTGTGCTTGAGAACACTCTCTCTCTCAAATAAATAAATAAAATCTTTTAAAAAAAGAATATTCTATAAAAAATAGATGAATAAAGATACATGTGTGTGCACACACACATTGGAATATTACTCAGCCATCAAAAAGAATGAAATTTTTCTTTCTTGGATGGAACTAGAGGGTATTATGCTAAGTGAAATAAATCAGTCAGAGATAGACAAATACCATGCAATTTCACTCTTATGTGTAATTTATGAAACAAATGAACAAAGAAAAAAGAGACAAACCAAAAAAGAGACTCTTTTTAAAAAAATTTTTATTACTTGCGGGGGGTGGAAAAGGAGAGAGAGGATCTTAAGCAGGCTCCAAGCTCAGCACAGAGCCCAACACAGGGCTCCATCTCATAACCCTGAGATCATGACCTGAGCCAAAATCAAGCACCAGACACTTAAGTTATTCCAATGACTTTCCAGTTTAGTAGCTGGCCGTGCTGTCCAACTCAGTAGCCACCAGTCACTGTGGGTAGTGAGTCCTTGAAATGTGGCGGGTTTCAATTGCAGTGTCCG